CAGCTCAGGCAGCGGCGTTGCAGATCTGGAGAAGCTGTGTGCCATTTTGGAAGCGGTCCCCGCCCTCAAGTACATCTGTCTGGATGTGGCAAACGGCTACTCTGAGTACTTTGTGGAGTTTGTCAAGACAGTCAGGGAAAAGTTTCCCAAGCACACCATCATGGTAAGAGACACGGGCTGTTCTGGCATGCGTTGTATTGTGAGACTGTGTCTTGGGGCTAATGCTGTCTGGCTTTGCAGGCCGGTAACGTGGTAACAGGGGAGATGGTGGAGGAGCTCATCCTCTCCGGTGCTGACATCATCAAAGTTGGCATCGGCCCAGGTGGGTACGACTGTCTTGAGCATGTCTACAAATAGCCCGAGTAGTGTTTTCCCCCTAAATCAACAAAGAAACTGTACAGGCCTCGCATATAAACACAGACACAACTAAGATGGGAAACAGGCAGGAATGCAAACACACACATCAGCCTTTATCAGCAAGGTTAGTTTGGGCTATAGACTCATAAAGTGCCTCTTACTGTGCAGTTGATTTAAGTTACAACTTACAGAATGTTGCAAATAGGGTGAAACATGGTTTTATCACCAGCAGATTAGCCTTCAATGCAGCAGAATTGGTTTTAGCAGATCATTGTAAAATGACAACTTTAACAAGAAGAAAGAGCTCTAGTATCAATTATTCTGTTTTGCTATAAAGTTTGATAAATCCCCTACGGGCCTGGGCATTGAGACGGTGCTGTTTTATAGCCTGTGGAGTAGAAACCTGAACTGCACAACCAGACCTGAAAGATAAGGGGCTCCTGTAGCTACAGCAGCTGAAATTACACACAGACAGTGACAATGGCGATGGACATCTCTAATGCGTACACTGTGAACTGTGCATTGCAGGGTCTGTGTGCACGACAAGGATCAAGACAGGAGTGGGCTACCCACAACTCAGTGCCGTAATAGAGTGTGCAGACTCAGCCCACGGACTCAAAGGACACATTATCTCTGTAAGTCTCACATCAAGGCACAAACAAATACGGACAGCCAGAGTTGCTGAAGTTAGTATCATGTAGAGTATATATATACTGTACATATTAAGTATACTGCATATGGTAATGCTATCTTGTTGTGCTGTTGGAGAGGAGTTCATCTCTCAGTTCCTCTCTGTGTGAATTGGAAGCCACACAGAGT